TGCTAGCAACCGGGTTTCGATACCCGTGGTGGACAGAGCACAGATAGCCCTTGTGTAGCTTTGGGCATAATTACAAACAAACAAACATTATGTCAACCAATATTTATTAAAGTTCTTCTGATACAATAATTATACAAAATGTATAAGAGAGAAAATTAAATTCACCCAGGGGCTTTCTTTTATTTTATGTTGTATTCATTCTAGTTGTAGATTTATGTGTGTATATATAATTCCTAATAAATAATGCTGTGTTTTAATTTAGTACTTTTATGTCTTTTTTTTGAACTGGGGTGAGTGAGCTGTTGTGAAAAACTTGCAGGAGTGGATGATATTGGAAAATTTTGACAAGCACTGACTTAGTCAACAAACTTTAACATTTCCAGTAAATTCACCCAGGGGCTTTCTTTTATTTTATGTTGTATTCATTCTAGTTGTAGATTTATGTGTGTATATATAATTCCTAATAAATAATGTTGTGTTTTAATTTAGTAATTTTATGTCTTTTTTTTTGAACCGGGGTGAGTGAGCAGTTGTGAAAAACTTGCAGGAGTGGATGATATTGGAAAATTTTGACAAGCTCTGACTTAGTCAACAAACTTTAACATTTCCAGTAAAACTCCGGCTTTCCATCTAAAGACAATTACAAATGACTATCAGAATTGCATAGTTTGGAGAGTGTTCTTTCTGCTTATTATTTTAATTTTTCATTATTGTTATTGTACTAAAGATTATTTAGAAGTAACCAAAATCTCCTAAGCTTACCCAAGTGAGGTATTATTGGGATTTCAGCCAAAAATGCTGCTAATAGCAATGGTACCCAATTGATGAAATAATTTAGTCTGAAATATATAAGGAAAAATGTAAGAAATGTAGATCTAATTAGTTATACTCATTAACTCTTTCAAGTTAGGTCATGGGTGAAAGGCCATGTCATCTCGTTTGTTGACTCATAATTTTATTGAACTACTATTTCATGAATTTATGTCAATACGTTTTGTATCAAACTGTAGATTATAATTCAGATTTGGGTACTATACATCACTCAATTTCTTAATTTAAAAGTAAATATTGAAAAAACACAAACATCGATTTTTGTGTGTCACGTGGTATGTTGAATGCAGCACTGGTTTAATTAGATTTTTATGAAGTCAAAATACTAAGTCTATAGTTTCATAGGAATTAGAAACTAAAATTTAAGATATTGACAAGTTAGAATATCAAATAAAAACATCTTATTTTTTTTTCTATTTGCTAAGATATTGCTTGTGTAATAAATCAAACACAGTGGCACCCCACCCACCTGTCTTGAATTTTTGGAAATGCTCCCTTATATACACTTACTTCTATATATGACATGAATAGCCAATCATAAGCTTAGAATGTCCCCCTTGTGGCTTTCCCAGCCATGTTAACAGGCTTGGTGCAATTTCTTTCTTTTGAACCAATATTTCAAGTAGGTAGGGTGTGTCTTTAGTCTGCTCAAAATTTCCTATTTTTCTAGACTAAAATACTTCTTAGTTACTAAGCTTGATTAATTATAGTGAAAATCTATGATATTGATGTAGTAATTTATGATTTTTTTAGTTATTCAAATGTATATATAAAACCTAAAAAAAATTTATTTTGTTTCATATCCTCCATGTGCAAAATTTTTAAAGACTTAGCAACCTACGTCAAGCAGCAACCAAGTACAAAGGTCATAACTGGAAGAGATAATTGTTTGATTTACTTCTTTATTTACTGTTCTGTTTTAAGAAACATAAGTTTAAGAACTTATTTCAAAATAGCAATAACCTATATACATATATAATGTATAATAATTGAAATGTAACTGTATCTTACAAAACAGGTCACTTTGTAAAGACTAAAGGTCAGTTTTATATGATTGGATACGGTAACACAAGTGCACGTGTACCACATCATTGTAATTTCTGTATTGTTAGCCAAGCACGACTGAAAGGTCAATATAATAAAAATAATAGATATACGTAACTGTATAATTTTTTGAGATTTAAGCTATTTAGTCTAAACACTTATGTTTTTCATGTTATAATTTGTGCTCATTCTAGAATGAAAGAAGCATAATCTATATTTATTTCCTAATTGTTTATGGTGGTTACAAGATCAGTCAAATCTACCAAACCCATACAGATATTCATTTCTGAAAATAATAGATAAAATATAGTTTTTTCTTAAGAAATGTTTGATATCTGTACATTATATATATTTTGCTTGTGAAATTAGAAAATTTTCTGATGTATAAAAGTATTTTTAATCTTAAAATGAAAATTACTTTACAAGTTAGATAGACAACATGCGAAAAGAAACAAAAAGCATGAGAAAAATACTGCTTTACAAACATTAAGACTTAATTAAAAAATGTGAAATTTTGCATGTAAAAGCATTGTAATGTTAAGTTAGATAGACAACATGCGAAAAGAAACAAAAAGCATGAGAAAAATACTGCTTTACAAACATTAAGACTTAATTAAAAAATGTGAAATTTTGCATGTAAAAGCATTGTAATGTTTACTGATAATGTGCCAAATTTCATTAACATTCGTTTACTAATTAAAAAGATATAGCATGAAAACTATAACAAGCACAAAATGGTTACAAGGTTGATCCCAGGGATCGAGCCCATGTTGAAAGAGTTAAAAGCTTCTCACATGCTCCAATATAAGCATAAGCTTTCTGTATATTATATATTCTAGTCTGATGTATTATTAATAACTGAATTTTTGAATAAAAGTGGATCTGTAATAAGTAAGAGAAAGAGAGAATTTTTATAGATTACATCATAAAGACATTTCTCTTAATAACATAAATACTGCTGAACTGTTTTTAATATTTAAAAAATAAGATGGTGGTATTATTATATGATAACATGTTCTGCTTCAAGTTATTGGTTTGGGAAGTTTATTCTCCATTGGGATTATGGCTGAAATACCAATATCAATGAAGGAACAAACTGATGATAAACCAATTCACTCAAATCGTTATAAGTTTCTGTTTTAAGGCAATGCATATTCCTAGACAAAGAGGAGAGTATATTAAGTTAGCAATATTATTTATTAAGTAAACTGTTAGTTCTAATATTGTTTTGATAAACAGTTATTTTTAACAATAACATTCACACAACACAGCAAAACAAACTGTTGCTCATACAAGATAAATAACATTCACTGCAGTTTTAAATATTCCTTCTTTGCTGTAAGTAATAGCTTGGGTATAGTACATATTTGTTGACAAAAAATGACAAGTCATAATGGTTAAACTATGATGATTCTTTAACAGTCTGAAAGGCTTTATATAATGCTTAAAATTATTCAACATGTCCATACAAGTTATATTTCAATTTTACACATAAAATGTCAAAATAGCTTAGTATGATCAATTCAGTGAAATCTTTATAACTGAACTGTATAAAATGGTAAGGATTTCATCTTTCATATGGTTAATTTTGTATTTGTTTGGTACATAAGTGAATACATAACATCACTTAACTTACCAATAGTTGTGTCAAATTCTTATTTAAAGCGTTGGATATGTTCATTAATCTTTCTGAAGGAACGATGCTCTTCCTTGCAACAGCTGCTGACGATGTTTCCAAGTGGGCAACAACACTCTCTTCAATCATGGAAAGAAAAAAACAGAGAACTCTATTATCATTTTATTAACTTTCTACTCATTAAGACATTTTGCTCTTTAGATACATTCCAAACATAAAAAGTTCTAGCTACAGGCAAAATAAATAAATGATATAACAAAGGGGGTTTCTTTCTTCAGGTCATTTTGTTTGCACCTGTTACATGTGTAACACATTCAAATTCCTTCTTCTGATTTACTTTATTTACATCTGTTAAACTGATAACTAAACCCAGTTCAGCTTCCTTTTTCAGAGTCCCTTTCTTTCATCTGTTATATATTAACTAAACACAGTTCATGTTTCTTAACTTGAGTCACTTTGTTTACATTTGTTACATCCATAACTAAACACAGTTCAGTGTCCTTTTTCAGAGTCCCTTTCTTTCATCTGTTACATATTAACTAAACACAGTTCAGTTTCTTAACTTGAGTCACTTTGTTTACATTTGTTACATCCATAACTAAACACAGTCCAGCTTTCTTCCTCTGAGTAACTTTTTTACATCTGTTAGATTTTAACTAAACCCATTTCAGCTTCCTTCTTCTGAGTCCCTTTCTTTATGTGTGTTACATTTGTAACTAAACCTATTTCAATTATCTTCTACAGAATAACTTTCTTTACATCTCTTAGATTCATAACTAAAGCTACCTTAATTTTCTTTTCCTAAATCACTCTGTTTACACTTGTTATATTCAAGAACCCTTATCATGGGTTCTTCTGTAATTATGAATGAACCTGTACTGTCTTAAGCTTGATACTCAAGCTAACAGAAAAATAAACAAGTCCAATATCAGACTGTTAAAAGTTATTCCTTTTTCTTTTTAACTTTACAACTAAATGTCACACACACATGAAAATAGAATATTGATTTCCAGTTTCTACATTTTACTGTTAAAATGCATGGATCCTACGAATATATTACCAAAATCCAAACTGCTGTTTCAGTTAAACTTAGTTTTTGCTATTAATGTAGTTTAAATCATCAGGTAACTTTAATAAATAAATTGATGTTCCATACTATGTATTCCATTATTACTTTGTGTTAGTTCTAACTAGTTACTTGTCATCTTTGAACCAATTAATTAGCTTGAAATATAGAGGCTATGAAATTTTAAGAAAATTTCAATGTCATATTGTGCAGCTGACACAGATCATAGGATTAACAAGTACAAGTTTTATTAATGAAACACCTATGCCCCCATTAATGTTATGCTGTATGTTTAAGTCAACCCAATATCATGATGTAGAACCTATTGATGATGTGTTTAGTTCCTGAATTTAAATCTGATCGTGTACAAAAAGAAAAAAAGAGAGTTCTCAATAATATTGAAGAATTAATGATGTCACAGCAACCGCCTGGAGTGACACACAGATATAGTCTAAACATGATCCTGATTTGTGGGTAGGCTGAGTGACTGCTTTAAAGTGAACATGTCACAATTTTTTTCAACATTGAATAAGACTCAAATCAGTCTCTTGCAGATGTTGTAGACTATAATGAAGATCAGACAGAAATACTTTCTGGGGGTAATGTTGGAGAATGGTAGAATAAAACAGTTCTTGTTGAGGATGCAGATTTGTCAAGAGCATTGATGCACAAAATCTCTAGGTTGAAATGAGATAGCATTGTGAATTATTAATATACATTGTAACTCCATTAAACATCCTCCTTGAATATTTTTCTTTCATAAACGGTCTGAAGTCTGAGATAGTGTGCTAGTCTATCTGTCATGTCAAATGAGTTTCTGTGAAAATCAGGATATGCAAGTATTGTTAAACTGAATCAGATAGCACATCTTTGAAGTACATAACCAACAAATCTGCTTTCAGTTGTACAATCTCTACTGTCTGACAGATATCCATGCTTCACAAAGGCTTTTGGCATTTCTTCTATATCCTTTAGTGATATTTTGTAAAGTACACCAATTGTCTGAAGGTTGTAAACAGTAATTTTGTGTCACTTTCCCTAACAATATGTATGTTTTCTATTTCATGAAATACAAAATGCCCTGTAAATTGAAAGAAAATAATGGACAATATTCGTGACACAAAGGATATTGAGTCATAAACAGTGAATTTGCCTTTGACCTTAATCTTTGAACCATGACCTCCAAAAGTTAAGCAGATGTAGAACTTTGTATGTTGAACATGTTGTTTCAGTTTCATCATTATCCATTTATCCTGTAATAAAATATAATGTTCATAAGATTGAATCATAGATGTTGGAACTGAGGACTCAAATATCTTTGGTCCTCTTTACTCTTCACAACTGCTTTCATTGTTTTATTGCTCTTCCAACCAAGATAAGAAATAAGTCAGTGGGAGTATGGAGAGTTTATGGTAAAGATTCAGGTTACATCATATGATGTCTAACTAAATATGTTTCTTGTGAGTTTCTCAAGGAATGATAATGAAAAAAATATTTATAACTACCTTTTTTCATTTTTCTTGCATAACCAAATAGGTTTTTAATTTTCTTTAATTAGTTACTTTTGTTAAAGATTACAATAAATAAAAAGCAAGAAATTTTGAACGTACCTTAACTCTAGGTCTATCTGACTGAAGTGCCTGATCTCTTAACCTTTTTTTTTCCCTACAATGTTTGTTGTCCAAAAACATAATTCATGTAGCTTTTAAATATGAATTTAGAAAATTAAAAACATTTCACTTACTAGATCAGGTTGTATGAAAATTATTGCAATTTACTTAGCTTTCTAACTAACCCGTAAATGGGTTAAGAAAATTTCATTACTTCTTGGATCAACAGCATCTCTAAACTCACCAAGCTTTGATGGCAAATTATTTACTTTTATGACATAAACAAAACAACCTATCATTAGATTTAAATAGTGTACAATTTGCTTTTTCTATTGGTTATAAACATATTATAGTCAGGTTAAGTGTCAGAGAGAATTACATACATTTTTTGAAAGACAGGATGTGACAGTAGGGGTATGGCTTGTGGGTTTGACTTTCTGGCTAATATCTCAGTAAAGCAAGAAGACTGGAGACTATAAATGACTTAATAATACCTATTCAGTAAGTGTGTAACTTATACCAAATGTAGAAGATCATATAGCAGTAGTAAGAAAATCCAAAACAAGCAATTTCAGCGAAGAAGAGCCATGTGATACAGAAGTGAAGCTGGGGAATTTATTTAAATTTTGTTCTTTTAAAATTAACATATCAAAACATATAATATTACAATTTGAATTGTAAATTATATTTTGATGTCAAATCTACTGACATACATTGATAATAAAGTTAATCAAATTTTTAACATAACTCTAAAAATGTGATATGCACACTTTGACCCACTCAGTTGCAGAGGGTTATAATGATAGAACTTCAGGAAATCTAAAAAAAATACAGCTTTTAATTACTTTGCTAATTGGTCTGGATCTTAAAGTGTAAAGTAATATAAGCACTTCAGGAAATTCAGAAAAATACAGTTTTATCATTACTGTGCTAACTCGTCTGGATCTTTATGTGTATGACAATATGAACACTTCAGAAAATTCAGAATAAAATACAAAAATACTGATCTTTCAAATACTGTACTAACTGGACTGGCTTTTAAAGTGTTAAGCAATAAAAGCACTTGAAATTCATATAATCTACAAACAAAAGGATTTGCACTACTGTGCTAGCTGAACCAGATCTTAATGTTAAGTAACAGCATCACAATAGGAAAAAGCTGAAAATATTTGGTGAAATACTTATTATAATAAAGATAATCACATATATTAACAATTAAGTACAACATACAAATATTAATTTTACTCAGTCTCTGAAAAATACACAAAAAACTAATTGGGCACCCTACATTTATTTTCCTATAATTGTAGTAACAATTCTGGCTGGTTGATATTGTTAACTTCACAAAAATAGTTCAACCATCCTTTAGTTCACAAAATAAAATTGTATGTCTCTCCTCTTGTCTGCAGTTCTTAAGTTTGTCAGACCTTTCAGGCCCTCTTTTGGCTCACTCCTCCCCACAATTTTAGTGGATGTGAAGGAATACTTATGCCACCGATTTTGCCATCATTTTAAATATTTATTTATATTTTTTCATGCCACTTGTTAATCAAAATATTTGGGCTGTTTGATATTAACTTCACAAAATAGTGCAACCATCCTTTAGTTCACACAAATAAAATTGTATGTCTCTACCCTTGTAGACAATTCTTAAGTTTGTCAGGCCCTTCTTAGCTCACTCCTCCCCACAATTGTGGGGGGCTGTAGAGGCATATACTTAAGCCATTGATTTTGAGTACTTACAGTGTTTTGAGTAATAGTAAAGTTATTTACTAAAATTTTGAGTAATAGTAAAGTTATTTACTAAAATTTTGAAAATAACTCTCTAAAAGATCATGATATGCACTTTAACCTGCCCACAGCAAAACAGTTAACAGCCTGCTTTATCGAGTGCCCATATAAAGAATGAGACAAAAGACAATGTCCTTAGTCCAGAATATTGAGGTACATGATACTGCAAGATTTACTTTGGTTACAAATAGTAGAAAAAGCAAGAGGCTGAAAAGCTCCTTTCATGGCGCAGTGCCCGTTAATCGATGTTCTATTGTACTTACATAACTAACAAAACGAAACATATATAACCAGTAAAAAGCATAGCTAATCAAATATACCATACAAACTATATTAACTATATTGATTAGAATGCACTGTTTCATCTGGTAATGATATATTATGCATTAACCATGATCAAGATATACTTGATACAATACAGCTGAATTTTTTTTTTCCCCATTTTAAGTATAGTAGTGTAAATGTTGACATACATCGTTTTCAATGAAGAAGTATTTTATTGTTGAAAAGTACAAATGATACCCAAACCAAGTTCAAAGTTCCAGTATACAATCTTATAATTTCAGTTCATATTAAAAAAATACAGGTTATTTAACATATCTGATGCTCACCTTCTTTACTATAGACACTTTCATCATCTGACACTCTCAGGACTTCTCTGACTAATGCAGTAAGCTGATTGGCTGAAATGATAATGATAAACCTTAACATGCAGACAAGTTATAATAACAATAATATCTATCAGCAAAAGAAAGGTTAGTATCTTAACTCTGTCAATATGGAGGTGGTCACTGTGTCTGATTTTGCTATCACAAAGTAAAAGTCAGAGTTTCCATACAATAACTTTTAATATGTTTTGTGTATTTTCATGAAATCTCACAAGATATTTTAATCAAGTGTTGACTGCTCCAAGTGAAATACGATTTTCATATTACATTTACATAACCACTTTTTTTTTCAGCAAAACTTTATGTTTTATCTGTTTTTTTCTCTACCCTAACTCTATATGGACTTGATTCTCATATGAAAGTCTCACTTTCAAGTCGAGATTTTATTATTATTTTTATATATTTTTTGTTTTTGTATATAAGTATATAAATGATCATATTTACAACAAGCTCTAACCCTATCAGGACCATGCCATTTTTAAATTCCTTTCTGCACATCTTAAAGTATTACATTCAACATTTAATTAAACCATTTTACTGTCAATGTATTTTGATGAAATTATTATTATCAAGTACATTATAATTCAAAGTTGCGTATTATCTAAGTTTTCATTAATTTTTCAAAAGAAACCTCTAAACAAATAAGGAAAATTGCAGTTTCTTTTTCCATGGGTACCATTGTGGTTACAATTATCAACTTTAAGAACTGGTACAGAAGAAACTGTGTGTGTAAAAACGTTTCCATTCAGATATTCAAAGTACAGTGTACACCAGTTGTTTACAAGTAACTTGAGAACATTCCAAGAACTTGTCCTGGATGAAACAGTTGTAAAAAGATAAGCCATGCCCACTTGCAAAGTAGAAGCTGTGTTGCTAAGCAAAAGTTTTTAACTGAATGGGATGTTTATAACCAATAGAAAGAGCAGATTTTGCAGAATCTTTCTTGTAAATTATCTTCTACCACAATGTTAACATTGACTATGTGGGTATACAATTCTCAAGTATATTGTTGGACATCATTGTTCTTATCCTTGGCTGTTTGTCTCTCCTTATACACATTAGTTTGACTGACAGTTATTTTGCATTTAAGATTTTATTTTTATATTTTAGTTAATTATGTATTTTAAAATTTATAATTGAAAGAATTAATGATTTTTTAAAATTTATTCTATGCTTTGGCTCACTCAACCAGCTATCATAAAGTTGGCAAGAGCAAACAAAATTCTGCCAGAGGCTAAAACTGTCTCTGCCTATGTAAAAGTTATATTGCCCATGGGCACTCGATGTGCGTCAACATAAATAATCAAAGATAAAGAACACAAAAGGAAAATAAAATATAAAAATAAACTATAAGTGAAAAAGTAAAGATGTGAAATTATGCATAATGACCCAAAGAAGATATTGTAAGATTAATCAATGAAGAGCTAAAAGGTATATATAATTTCTACTTCTTAATTTTAAACATTTCATTGCACTGTACAGTGATGATAATAGTTAGTTAGTTAGTGATAATGTACAGAAAATGGCAAATAAAATATTTTTGATATTCATTTAGGAGGTCTACAGATTATGCAAGTAAAATGTAAAAACTTAACATGAAAATAACCTTGCAGGTGAACTTTTCAAAGACTGAGTGCAAATAACTATGTTAAATAACAAATTTTTATTGGAAATAGTAAAAAAATAAAAATTGAGTATTTTATTTTTCTGAAACTACATACTTTTAAGAAAGTTCTTGTCAAATTTCAAACAATTTTAATTCATAGCTCATTCCCCGAACTTTAACCACCACAATCTCTAAAATTATCTACAAGTCAAGAAAGGGGCAAAGAGAGATAACTTTAATCTCTGACCACCCCTGGGTTATTAAACCTAAATACCTACCAAGATTGGATTCAAACAATTTCATCTAATAGTTTCATTTTTGGAAAGAAATTTCACAGAGGTTACATAACCCACTAGTAATCTTCATATATCTTAACAGAGTTAAACACCATTATAGATTAAATCAGGGAGTTGAGATACTGGTTAACATTCAAATTGTAAGATGACACATTTAGAACATCAACTCACCCCAGTTTTTCAATTGTACTAAACATTTCTAATAATTTCAATGAAATAAATTCTAAAGTAAAATTCTGAATAAAACTAAAATACAAAGTGAAAACAACTAATGCGGTCAAATGAAGTTCCTGGAGAAACAAACCAAAGACAAATGGATGCTGAAAGACATGCAAACATGTTTTGGCCCCCTCTATATCTTCTCAGTGCATTGAACAGGGACATCAACTAGTTAAATAATTTTAACTAATTAGCTTAAAACTGATATAATTTTGAAATTTGACTTATTAACTACACTCTGATGCCAAGTTTATTCATATACATTGATAATCAAGTAGTTTAATTAAATTTTGAATGTAAGTCTGTAAAAGTTCTTGATGCACAAACTTTGACTTAACTTTAGTGAGAGGGTTAATTCTCTAGACCACTTTATATTAGAACTCAAATGTAACAGTAAATGTTTGAAGTACACTACTTTTTATGAAAGCAATGGCAATACCTCAAGTGAATTACATCGGACAATAATACTGACATTTACTAGTTATTCAAAGGGGAAAAAACCTGCCGCTACATCACATTATTTATGACTAAATACTAATTTAGATGGTTTAAGAAATTACTACCTTGATAAATGGATGCCAGAATTAGATCCTTCATTCTTTTTTCACCTTCAAATTCTTTTACAGTCTGTAAAAATAAATAAAAAGTGATAACCACAACTGAAAATATTAACATAACAAAATAATCTTAATCTAAGTCATGGTTTAATGCAATTTATGTGATTTTTGTCATAAATGTTAAAGTATATTATCCATCAAAACCGTAACTTACAGTCAGATAGAGTAAACCCTGATGAATCTATAAAATGTAAAAGCCATAACTCAACAGCTTATATTGTACTAATTGACAATTCAATGATCATGATTACAGTTTTCCATCTCTAAAACAAACACTTATATCGTGTCTTTACACTAACATAAGCCATCAGAAGCACTGTTATTCCTTTTTCACTAGAAACAAAAGGGGAGTAAAAGCTCCTCATGGTAAACTTTATTGGTAAATATAGCAACATGAAATATATTTTTAAAAACTTTATTTTACTTCATTATCACAAATCGTCATCCCACAGCTCTGCTGTTATTTCATCTTCTGGTCCACCAGCATTTGATTCTACATGTCCACAAACTTGAGATATTGGTTAACAAATTAAAAGACAACATGTTTACAGCAGTTTGAATTAATGCCACTTTTTCAGGTGCTGTAGAGATTGGAATATTGGACATGTAATAACATGATGAAAGAGCTAAAGATAATATTTTGGCATTTTACCTGGTTCAAATCCTACATTCAAGTTTTCTTTCAATTAAAACATGTAAAATGTATGTTCAAACCTTTGTGAGGGAAATTTTCACTATCTACCTAAAATAACAAGAGTGCAATTTATTGGTCATTTTCTCAAGCTAATATCTCTACTAAGTCTTTAAAAATAAATAAAAATAGGTGTTAATTTCTGTCCTACCTCAGCTGCATGCTCCATTTCCTCTATAGGAACTTGAAAAATGTGTGAAACAAGATCTTCTTCCTCTCTCGAATCATTTGTAGTCTCTTCATCTTTGCAAGTTACCAGTTCTAGATAAGAATATTTTTGCAATTTATCAAAATTTTCTCCAGTTTCAAAGGCATTTCTTTTTCAAAAATTATACTACAACATCTTCAGTTGATTTTTTATATGGACATTTCAATATCTGAACCCTTTTGAAAAAGTAAACTTTTTTTTTTAAAAATCACAAAATAATTTCAGATTTCAGACTTTTAAAACTTTAAATCATTCAATTTAAGAAATGTAAATATTTGTGATCACTTTGGACTTACTAAATAATCAACTTATGACAATTAACCTCAACAACTAGTAAAAACTTATCTTAAGAAATTTCTCCATATCAACCAATCTGGATGCAACCAACCTGCAAAAACTATATTATCTTAAACGTAAAATGTAAGATTGAAGGGAACACATGAAAGCATCAAAACTAGTACAGTAGTTTTTTGTTCTAATACTTTATTCGAAAAGTATGGTTTATTTGTTTACTTTCATTTAACCTTTAGAAATTTTACTAACTAAAGAACCTTCATGGGAACCCATCCCATATATAAACTTTGTTATAATAAGAAATTTAGTTGAAATTTCTCCAGGGCAACCAATCTGGAGGCAACAACCAGTAAATACCTTATCATCTTTAAAATTTTTACTGAAATGTTTTAAAGGCACAGCAACTAAACACATTTGTTAACAACACCAGTAACACATATAATATGAAAAAAGTTTTGATCACTTAGAGACTGAAATAATTAACTTCATTACCCTCAACTACATGAAAGGCTAACCAAAGATGTTTCAAGTGAAGGTTAACAAAATATTAAAGTTTATGAATATGAGTGAACATATTTATGGAGTAATTTAATTTACTCCATGTTAATCAAGATTTTGAAAACCAAGGATTCTGTGCAACTCAAATTATATGATACATTTGATAAAACATATTCAGCAGTTGAAACTATATATATCTTTTATAATGATACACCTAAAGCACATGATCAACTTTAGCCTATCCATAAGGCTAAGAAAAGTTTTAAACATCTGCCTACTGCTGCATAAGACATCTAGCTACTGCTGCCTATGACAACAACTGGCCTCTATTGTTTACAATAATATCTTGTCACTGTTACATACAATTAGATTTTTCTTGTAGTCTGCATTCAGAAACGACCTTAATGATGGTATAAAAAAAATGTAGCTAATTATCTACTTTTCAGAAATTAATTGTGCTCTACCTTTGATATATTACTCACAATAGCTGTTACACAGGGTATGAAAAGCTAGACAAACATAATGAAAAAACAAAATACAAACCCTAAAAATCTACTCTGAAGGTATGTTGAAAAAACTCTTCAGTCAATGACTATTTTGTATTTTAAGTAAGTAATTAACCCTTTCCAGCCCAGGTAATCTGGATTGAACTTTGAGAAAATTTGCAACATCATATTTTGAAAAATTATTTGTGATGTATCCCCATACATTTTCTACAAAATAAAATTACAATTGAAATTTTGGGGTTTTAAACATTCTTTTTATAAAGTTTTATTAATATTTATTTTCGATGAAATAATTTAAAAAAAACTGAATTTTAACCTTAAATGTCAATTTTTAGCCTCCTTTTGGAATTTTTTTTATTCAGGTTACATAAATAAATAAATTTTACACCTGCACAGAGACAACTTGTTAAAATATGAAACAAAGCTAGAAATGCATAAATTTAAAACAAATTGAAATTTAAATTTAGAAAAGATAGATTAAAAACTGAATTTTTGAAGTTGGAGTTGTCAAGACCTGTAAACTTCAACTGTCCACACATTTTTTATTATAATTTTTTTACATCCAAAGTTGTCAAAATCATAGATATATCATCTAAAATTTTGGATCATTTATTTTCTCACAGTCTCTTGGCCATAGAACTCTCTTTCATCCTGATGTAGAATAGAAATTTCTAAACTTTTTTGTTGGAACATCACAAGGCTCATTTCGTGCTGCATTCGAAACAGTGTAAGTTATTAACGGTTTTATACTGCTTGCAAGCTACGGAAAGATAATAAATTAACTTCATGGGTTTTTGTGTGTGTTTATTTTGTTCAAGTAATTATTTTGTAAGATCAATTTCTGTAAACAACTACTTTACAATAGTAATTTGACACCTACAAAGAAGGTAATCATTCATATCTATGAAGTCCACGACAAAGGAAATAGCACAGACCAAACAACTCATTGTGGGTTCTAGCCTCTTCTATCTGATACAGTTGTATAAGGCAAAAGAAAATTTGTACTTTGTCCTACAGTTGCTTGAGAGGTAAATTAGTATCAATCCAATTATTCAAAATGTAGGTTTGAATAAAAACCCTATAACCCGAGCACTTTTGAAAGGTGAACCTTTCTTCTTCAGGGGCAAACTGGGATCTTATTTAGGTTTTTACATGTAACAGATTGAAAGACAGCAATTAACTGCAAAGTTTATAATGGCAAAAATAATTATACCAACTCTTATACTATATTAATATTTAATTCATAAAACATAATCAATCAAAAAGACAAAAATAATTTTACCGACTGGGGTGACTACAGATTCTGCAGTTTGCACAACAGGGCCTTTACTGACTTCAATTTCTAATGGGTTGATCAGTTGTGACTCAGTTGACACATTAAACAGCTCAATCTTTTCAAATGAGCTGCAAGAGGAACAAGTGTCTTTGCTCTGCGATGATAAGGAATGAGCATGGTCATCTGCAGTAGAATGGTTGAGACTAGATATTTCTGTTTCAGATAGAGGAAAAGCATCAAGAGAGAGATCATCACTAGGCTCTTCTGTCTCGGTAGATTCCACACCAATGCTTGATGTAGAATGTGATGACTCTAAAGACACAGACATCCTAGACAAACAGTAAAAGTGTTTAAGTTTTCTTTTGAAACTCAAATAATCTATAGTGTATCAACTATGACCAAAAAAGCCCCTTTTAAACAAAATAAATTATCAGAATAACTTTTATACCCTTTCTTCCACATTAACATGAGCCATCAGAATCACTTATATTGTCTCTTTTACACCAAACATAAGCCAATATAACCACTATTATTCCTTTTTCATGAACAAAAGGCAAATGGTTTTTGTTTGTTCGTTCAGAATTTCATGCAATGCTATAGAGGAGTTATCATCAAATAGCCATCCCTAATTATAAAAGTGGGATTTTACCACTTTCTAAAAATAAGTAGATTCTGTAACAGATTGCTTATAGCTTGACATAAGCCATTAGAATAACTGTTATCTTTTTCACATTAACACAAGCCATTACGATTACTTTCTTGTTATACCATTTCCACTAATGTAAGCTATTAGGACCATTTATTTCACACAAAATGGATTTTAAACAATTTTGTTATAACTTCAAATATGTAATCCAATTAAAAATATATATTCATAATAGTTTGACTCTAGAAAAACAACTTCTTATAATTTTGAAAATTAAGTAAGAAACTCAGTCTATAATTTTCACTTCAAGGATTTGTTCTGTTTTATAGAATTAGTTTAACAAGCATTGTACATTTTGATATTCTTATGTCTAGAGCTAGCCACTACGTAACAGATTTCCTAAATTAAGCAGAAGTCATAATTTCATGAAATTCACAGACTAGTCCACTGATTGCTAATATTCTCAACTCCATCTGGTCCACATAAGTTTATAGGAGACAAAAGTTTAACAAACGATTTGCTAACTTTGAAAACACAAAAGATCTTAAACATTTTCTCAAATGGGTCATGACAATCCAGAGTCTGGTAATTCAAATGTCATTCTGGTGTCTCTAGGTACCCCAAAATGCACCAACCAAGAGTATGGAAATTCAAAAACAACTTTGAGTTCTGTAGATCCCCCAAAACATACCAATCAAACAGGCCACTACGATTCAAAGTTTAGCAGTTAAAGGACCATTCTGGGTTTTGTACATTCCCCAAAACATAATAATAAAGCAGAACACCACAACAAATCAATTTGATAATTCAAATATCATTCTTGTGGTCTCCAGATTCCTCAAAATATACCAATCATATAAACCACAATTATTCAAAGTTTAGCAGTTTAAGACCACGACCATCCAGGGTTTGGTAATTCATACACAATTCTGAGTTCTGCAGTTCCCCAAAATGTACCTACATAACAGGCTACAACAAACCAGTGTTTTTTAAATCAATCACCATTCTAGGTTCTCCAGACTCCCAGAAAGGTATCAACTTGCAGTTTGGTATTCAAACACCACTCTAAGTTATTTAGACTCCCTGAATTATCAAACTACAGTTTGATTGTTCACAGACAATTCTGGGTTCTCCAGACTCTCCGAAATGACCCAATATACAGTTTGATAGTTCAAACACCATTCTATGTTCTCCAGACTCCCTGAAATGCATCAGTCCACAGTTTGGTAGTTCACACACGATTTTGGGTTCTCCAGATTTTACAGAACATATTAATCAAACAGTCACTTGATGTCCAAACACAGGTTCTTCAAACAAAATCTTTGGATGAGCTCAGCACCCACAATAGATAAATCATAAAGCCATTTTTCTGGATGCACGTGATATCCAACAAGAACCACTCAAAAAGGCTACAGTTATAGAAAGCTGGTTCTGAAAACAAAATCTTAGATACTGAAAACTCCAATTACCGACTGCAACAAAACAATTTATTATTTGAAACTCTCAATGTTAAATAGATTACCGAACATATGAAAACAATTATCAAAATCTCCAGAAAATGTAAATTTTAACATTTTAGCTTCTAACCTTCATGGTATGTCCTAATAATACTTTGCTTTCCACCTATTTCTAACACTTATACACACTGTAAGATTCACTGCTCTATACTGTTTCTTGAGAAGGCTGGCTACAAGATGAATTGGTTTGGTTTGTTTGGAATTTCGTGAAAAGCTACACAAGGGCTATCTGCACTAGCCATCCCTAAGTTATGAGTGAAAGACTAGAGGGAAGGCAGATAGTAGTCACCACCCATACCGCCAACTCTTGGGCTACTATTTTATCAATAAATAATTGGATTGACTGTCACATTATAATGCCCCATGGCTGAAAAGGTGAGCATGTTTGATGGGATGGGTATTCAAACCCACAACCCACAGATTGTGAATCAAGCGCCATAATCACCTGGCAGTGCAAAGCCTAGCTACAAGATGAAACACTGAATAACATGTAAATAGCTTACAATTTGTTCTTCTGTAAATATTCATCTCTTCCCGATGAGCCATCTTTAGATTTGGCTTTTTGAGCCTCGACAGCTTCTGCAATGCATCTTAGCCACCTGTAATATAAATGTAGCAGCAATATCATCAATATTTAGTACTTTTATTATCTACTAAATCAGCAATAATTCACTGTTTTAAAGCTGGTTAATAAATTATAAAAATTTAAAATATTTCTTTATTTCTTCTTTGCCTAAAGTCTAAAGTGTTGCTATAGTTAAGCAATGCTTTGAATGTTAAATATAGAAATTTATCCAGTTTACAATCTATTTTCCAATAGGCAAATGATACTGTAGATGCTTAATATTATGCATGAAGTTTTAAACACTGTTACAAAACAATAACATTAATAAATTAAAAAGTAGTTAATTGAGACAGATCTAACACTGTATTATGGTTTAACATAATAAGATGCACTATTTACTTTAATGGAATGACACTCTCAAGGAATGAATGTTACAACTATTATATGGACAGCAGATTTATAGATAGCAGTCACGGCACATTTATATACATGTAAATTTTGAAGAAAAAAGAAACTCAAAATATTTTAAAATTATTTTTAACTATGTGTTTAAGTTTTTCGATAGATAACAAAATAAGTACATAAAACAATACCTTAGAGCTCACAGCTTCTTACTGATCAAAAACATCACAATGTATGAACATACACAACAAAAATCTATTTTAATACAGTAGTTAGAAAAACAAAGAAGTACTTGTTTTTCTGTATCAAATGTTTACAATAAAGTATAGTACGTGCACATTGATGCAAGTAAGAAAAATAAAATCTCACTTTTTTCTTTCTGAAGTTGAAGAGGCAACAAATTCATAGATTGCATGTTGTTCAGACGTGGAAACAATAAAAAATGCTTTGCTATCTATAATTAAATGAAAATCAAAACTTAATCTTCTTAACCTTACCACAAACTCTTTTTTTTTTCCATGGTAACTTACTTATTACCTATAACACAACTTACATTCCTAGTTGATGAAAATGAATAAAATAATAAAAATTTGGATCAAGTGTTACTTTTCTAATATTGATGTATAATGATTCAGGAGAAAATCTAGTAACTTTAATTGATTAACACATAAAATTTAATAAATTACTTAATTTACACACAGGATCTAATATACTTAATCATATTAACACAAGATATAATAATCTTTAACTATTTAACACAATACCTAGTAAATTTTAATGGACATTGTTGTTCAATAACTGTATTATGAGACAAGAAAAATTGACAGAAATGTTATAAAATTTCAACTGATTTAGACATTTAAAGTACAAGAGTGGCCCTTTTGCACATGTCATGACCTTTACAGTGTTACATTCTAAAGCTAATTAATAACCTTTATTATCAATGTTATGTCAATAAACTTGACATCAAAACCTATATTATAATTTAAATATTTATATCATCTGTGTTAATTTCTTAATTTCAAAAGGAAACACTCAAAACATTTTTAATCTTCACTTTTTTGTGTCCCACAATGTGTTTGTGCTCTGAATTCTCCACTTCAGGTTTTTATAACTTTAATGTTAGAGTTCTACATTTTCCAACCAATTAGAAACACAAACTATGCATAAATACAAAATGTAAACCCCTACCTTCTTGACTTGTCGAGATATTAATAAATTTGTCACAACCACCAGAGAAGACCTGCCCATCTTTCTTTGTCTTTTGAGATTGATTGCTAATCAACTTCACATAATTAATGTGCATGTTTATAAAAATAGCAAAAGCAGATTTTCCTCTACATAAATCTTATGACTTCTTTCATTTTACCACAGTAAAGCCATAATTAATGGAATTTACTGTTTGTGGGTGATCTGATTATGGTGCATCAAATGATTAAGGAATTATTTTACCCTATGTATAGCTTAGTTAGATATCCACAGAAATTATAGTAGTTTATGGAACATTCTCTTCTCATGACTGATATAAATATTTTTAGTGAGAAAAAGTGAGGCCTAGCACAGTTATACCGATGAGTGCAAAATTCATGTGCTCTCTCTCTCTCTCTTTATGTGCTGTTCATGAAAAAGCTAACAAGCTCCTGCTGTTATTTATTGTTTTCGAAAGAGAGACAAACTGCTCTAATTATAAACTCAGGGAGTGAAACCATAAAATTTTAATATAAAGATGTGAAAAGGTTAACAGCTGAAATTATGAAGACATGTAATTTGAAAATATTAAAACAATTATGCATTCAAAGAAGATAAAAAAATGCATTATTAACTTTATTTCATTTTTTAAACTTTTCATTTTACTATACATTGATGATATCACCATAGTTAGTGTTAGGGTAGAGAAAAACGAGAGATAGAAATTTGAAATTCATTTGTGTACAACAGACTTGTAATATTTACTAAAAGCTTGTCAAATTTTGTGAAGCCACTAAGAAACTCAGTAAATTCTGAGTTCTAGCATATGTATATCATTAACATTGGGGGTCAGTCCAAGAGACCAATCAAAACTTAAGGTGATAATCATTCACCTTTAGTTGATGATACACAAATTAAAAATCCACTCAGAATATTTTAATCTTAAAAACTCATTACAAGAAAATTTCTGCAATCCATGTAGCACTTTACAAGATTATTTCTAAAAAGAAAGGAATAAAAAACATTCCTGATCCACAATTCCTTTGTAAAACTAGTAGTAACATAATATATAATTAACACCACAATAAAACAAATAATAAAATTATTTAAGTCACATCGTTACTTTCTGGGCCCAATATAGGTGTTTAGCAAAAATGACTTGGTACAAATGATCATCAGTTTTATTATGATATAATATCACACGTAATACTACTAAACGTTATATTCCACCACCTAAAGTATTCTAAACATTAAATTTTATGAAACTGCTTTGTTTACATTAAGGATTATAGTTAACAATTACAGAAACAATAAAATACCTGTTGCAACATTTCTTGTAAAAAGGTTTTGCACACGAAGAACTGGACTGTGAGTGACTTTGGTGTCTTCCCGGCCTGAAGTTAGATTGTTGTTATGGAATTTCAGCTGCAGCTTATCATCTTGTTTCTGTAGCAGTAAAAGGATCTCTTCTAGTAGCACAACATGCATCTCAATGGTTTTCTGTTTGTGCAGCCTCCAGATTAGAGGACCCTCCTGGATTAACTTGTGCTTGGTAAGGTCAAGATGCTGGAAATTGAGAACGTTTTCATATAAGAAGTTAATTTATTTAAAAATTATAAATAAACTATGTAATAAAAAATAATTTACAAGTCATATCACTATTGTCAAGTAAAGATTAAAATGAATATTTTTCGTTTCATAAATGCTGCAAATTTCTCTGTACATTAAATAATTTTGTGAAGACATATGATTATGTAATTAAAGTTTCTTAAAAGAACATCTTGCAAAAAGGTCTTTCTTGAAATTTGTTATATTAATTTTCTGAAGAGCTTTCAGTTCTTTTAAAATTTACAATAAAATAAAAATGGCATTTCTGGCATCATCTAAAAGATGCTTTGAAATAATCTCAGTTGTTATTCTGAATTAAGTATTTTTTCTTCTTTTTGTGGGGATGTAAACAATGTGGTTCAACTTAAAGCTTTCTTCAGACTATATCATACAAAGCTGTCAAAAACTTCATCACATAGGTTTAAAAACATACATTTTTGTCCAGATTTAGTATTTAAATTATGTTAAATTTGTAATTATTAAACGTTTTGGGTCTTCAGTGAAGTCTGACAAGAATAAGAAGAACATGAAATTCAATATATGAATGACTTAGTTATATTTATAAAATAATATTTTCCGGTAAAGTGTTTTGTCAAGAGAACATACATTATAAAGACAGGATATAGTTAATGTTTGAACTACATTAAATATTAAGTACTCTTCTTTAAAATATATCCTTTTTGTTGTTGTTAAAAGTTTTGACCTCTGTAACTATTCACAGAATACTTCTCCACGCATTAAATAAATATGGAAGTTTTTTACTCAGCAGAATAGATATTCAATATGTCTTTTCATACATCCAAGAAACTTATAACAGGTTATGGGTTTAAATCTCTCACAGTTTTATTCTTATTTTTATATTCATTCTCTATAATAACAAACAGAACTAAATAAACAGCTTATAAAAATATCAGATGTAGTGATTTTTTTTAATACACATCTATCTATTCTTCTTTTAAATTAGTGTTAGAGGCTAACTAGTTTCCACCTAGGTGACGCACTATTGGCTAGTGAAAGGTGATGTACTTAAGAACTGCAGTTCTCGGCTGCTTTATAGCATGAAATCAATTATCCACAATAGGCAAATTTCTTTCTTATTACAGTTTTATTGCCAAATGTCCTGTTCATAAAATGGTGACTTACACGATAGGAATGAACAATAGAAGCTTCAACTTTCTCAAAGGCAGTTCTGTCTATTTTCTTCTGAAGCTCACTGAGTCTGTGCTCGTTTTCTGCCTCCTTCACAGCTTGGTTTACATGTGCCAAGATCTGCTTGCTGCAGTCCACTGCTCGTAGTAACTTGCCATGTTCTTCAGACTTTTCTGTAAAAAAAAAAAAAAACAGTGCACTATGTTTTCAAGAAGAAACTGTTTTTACCTTCGTTATTGATTAATAAATAATAGTCTGTACCAAGCATGAATATACTACCAGTTACATTACAGATAGTTTCATAATAACAATAAGTACTTAAAGAAAATTACAAGTAATTTATCCATTCCTCAACTTGAGTGTGTAGGGTAATTTAGTTCAGGAATTCTGAAGCATTTGTATAACATCAAACTAGAAATTAAAAACCTCTAGGGTGTTAAAAATATTACTAATTTTTATTTTCATCCACAAAAAAAAAGGATTTTAATGTTTTTTGTGAGGTACATTAATTTAACTCTACTTGCATAGGGTCTCGGACTGTCCCCATTTTTAAGAATTAATGATTACTATAATTCCAAATATCCAATATCTATCTTCACAAATTTTGGCAAGCATCAGTGACTCATAGATGCTTCCAAAGGAAAAAGTGTTTGTACAACATTATAGATCTAAAATTCAAGGACTAAAAAATTAAAATGTTTACACACTAACATGGGGTCCATAACTATATAACCTTAAAATAAAACTTAAATTTTTATTTCATTTTTGTTTTTTAAAGATGACACCATGAACAATGGCTAAGAGACCTATGTCATCTTTATATCAAATTAATTAGTTATATAGTCAAATTTTACTGACATTTTAAAAAGATATATGCTGTTTGGCGCACAAATTCAATGATTATCAAACACTTTTCCAATAAAATTTGGATTTTCAATTACTTTCAAGGCCTTCAAATTACTAAGTTCTAGCCCCCTAAGCAAAGTTGTCAGACATAATTATATATTATATGTACACAAAACTCAGTATTCAAACATTCCAAAAATTTCATACAAATCTTGAAATTAACTTTATCATGAAAATTTAATGTGAATTTGGCATAACTTTAAAACCTCAGAAACTTTAAATCATGTCATGTTTTTTTATTTTTAAAGAAACAGTTACATGTTTAACTATTATAAAATCTAGACTTCAAGACATCGAGTTTTTTTCTTATTATATATATATATTTAGAGCTAATTTTAAAACAGTTTTACCACTAATTAAGCTCTAACATTAGAAATTGCATGAAGAGAGATTAAATTATTGGAGAGTTGTTTTCACTTACGTGATGTATATTTTGCCACATTTTCTAAAAGAAGAGGATATTTTGTTAATCTTTGAAAACCTGTTGCAATGATGTCTTTAAGCTGTAGCCTCCTACAAAGAGGGTTTGCTTCGGTATCCTGTTAGAGAAAGAAGTTCTCACTAAAATTTGTTATTTTCAAATCAGAAGAGCTTTTTACATTTGAATATTCTAACAAAAGCTTTACAGGCCTAAGACAAAATTCTAATCAGAGTTAAGTAGAAATTTTGTTTAAGTGCAAAACTACACAATTGGCTATCAGATAGTGTTATGAGGATCAAACTCAAATTTTAGTATTATAAACCCTGAGCTTATTGTTGAGACACTGGGGGATAGGTAGGAGAAGAAACTTTCAATAATATAGAGCAAATAGAAATTGTAAACTTATGGATTTTGTACATTAATTTCAAATTCAAGTACTTCAAAATAAAAACAATCTTTGGTACTCTATGCCATTAAAACTTTACAGTAGGGGAAATGTATGTTTATTATTGTTGTTTTTCAGGATAAATAAAATGTAAATGCAAAAACAAAAATTCTAAATTAATATTAACTTCTGATTAGATCATGCTACTTATTTAATTCAAAACCAAACTCATAAAGACTAAATATAGGCTAACTGCTCTTACTTATACAGATTAAGATTCATTGTTTTATCAGTTGGGTACCCTCACTTCCTTACTTTGGCTCAGACTAACATAATTACAGTGATTTGCCAAGGTAGGGATAAATTTTTAAAACTTTTTAGTTACCCAGTTTTTTTAGTTTTGACATTCTTGTTTTAATATTGTTCGTAGCATTAAAACTTACTATATTATTTTAGCTAGCTAGTTTAGGTGTGTGTGTGTCTATATATATATATATATATATATATATCGATTCCTACTTGTCTTTATAAAATTGTAAAACTTAAATTATACTTTTTTCATTTTATAGTTTTACTGCCAGGCTTGTACGATATATCTTTTTTTTTTTCAGACCTGAAAAGTGACACCTCACACTGGGAACATTTCCATACATTTTCACACATGCAGCTTTGGACTTGTGCATTCTTAGTTACCTAACCCTTATTTTTTCTCTCAAGTCTTTTTTGACAGAAAAATTCATTTACCTTTCAAATATGCATTTCAAAATATAGATAATACATAAATTACTAAAATGGAATCTAAGCTTTATATATATG